AAAGAAGCGCTCCGACCGAATCAATTTTTATCTTCATCCGATATGCAGAAGTGAATTCATTGGCGTTTCAATGGCGTTTCAATGCGTTAGGCCGAGTTTAGAATCCGTAGGCCGAGTTTGGCATCAAGAAGCAGTGTTAGATTTTTGACTATATCTCAACGATTGGTTTCTCTTTATCAAATATTACGGTACGTACGGAAAGGTAAATAAATTTGGAAGCCATCAGCAATAATAACATTCCGTTTGGTGCTAAGCTGCGCTAGATTAAGAAAGACTAAGTGCGGGTTGTGCTTAATGGGCTGGAAATGGAGTAAACCGTAATCTAATCTAATCTAACCGTAATCTAATCTAATCTAATCTAATCTAATCTAATCTAATCTAATCTAACACCAACACAGCCAATTCATGAAAGCATCCTGAAAAATGATAGATATACCTCCAACACTTTTTTTTCTATTTGGTTTATGTTGCACATCATAGATGCGCAAAATATATCAAAATGGCCAGGCCTACTGTGCAGCATTTGAGGGGCAAGATGATTTAGAAACATCGGGCCTGTTTAAATCCAAGATTTAAACACGATGCTTCAGAATCCAATAAATGGATGAAAACGTGGACATCTCGTACCGTTCGTTCCGTTGTATTGTTATTTATAAATCATTTGTCGTTGGGAGCATCTAGTGTAAAAAGGTTAAGTGATGCTCCATTTTCTTCTAGCGGTTGGGACCTGAGCACTAACCCTTGTCCTAGCCCTATATGGCATATGGTTATAGCGCCATTACTCGCTTTCTGAAAAGAGAATAAGGGAAGGGAAGGAGAGGAAAAGGACTTGGGAAAAGGAAATGCGGAATTCCTTTCCTTATTAGTATTGGTATCGTCAACTTTTATAAAAACCATATAAATCATTTTGCCTTGGTCAGAGGTATTATTACGGCATTTGAATAAGATTGTCTTATAATTTGTAATTCAAAAATTAATGTTATAATGACCACCATCGCTTTGGATTATCCAATATAAATCGGCAACACTGTCCTGCAACCGATGATCTTTCTTATCCGAAAAGTAAAAGTTACGAAAAAGCACTTATGCCTTCATTAAGTTCCAGTTTCACGCGACGTTCAATGTTTCGGTTTGCTCTTTACGCATTGTTCAGGCTATCATAACAAGCTATGACCGACGTGACGATTGTTTAAGCCCTGGTTAAACAAGTTATTAAAATGAAATCACGTTCCCGAAAGCAGTCAACAATGTATCCAAACTGGATCAAGCGTGCGCCCTATTTTTCTAAACATTCCGACGCGTTCCGCCCAATATCCATCAGTTACGATTTTCTACAATAGTAGCCTGGGATAAATCCTAATGTCGATAAGTCGCGCATCCGACCCGTTGCCACTGCAAGTCCGTAGTTGAAAATCACTCGAGTCAAAATGTAGAAAAATTTCACATTGAACAAAATTGAAAAAATGACGGGAGAACCCAAAAATCGCGTCCGTTCACAAGCACAACACACTTCGATCTTTTCTCCCACTTCAATACTGTTACGCATTTGACCATAAACGTTTGGTTGCAGGGAACATTATCAACGAGCTTTGGGGTGATGTGGCTGGCAGCAAGGCGAGAGAACGTTTAATAAAAATGGTTGTCCTGAAAAGAACCGTTTTGTCGTGATGGTTGAGTAATGCTGAGCTATTAGGGTGTTCAATACGGATGAGGCTGGCGAGCTGTAGCACAGCAACTCACGAAGAGCTACTGAATAAGATCAGTACCGGTGCGGCTTCTTCCTCCTTCTTCGGTGAATAAACGCTCATGTGGGCTGCAGCTCGCCGCTTGCGGGCAGCCTTTCGTTGTGTACTGGAGAACAATGTTCAACGCCACGCGCCGAAAACACTGCTGCTGCTGAGGTCGACCGTCCGGACACCACCACAAACGGTGATTGAATAAGTGCAACAACCCCAAATTCTAACATCAATCCTTATAGTGAATTATTCGTAATGATTCTATAGAATGTTAACATTAAATATCAATTGCAACAAGAATGGTATAACTTGGTATAACTCAACTAAACGCATAATTAACGTAAGTCAGTTAGGCAAATTTTCATATCAGCAAAACGCGTGATAAAACTTGTTAACACAGATGATTTAGCCAAATGACAAAATTTAGTTAAAGTATGAACGACTGAATAAGTTTATTAATAGTACAAAGTAGGGTCTTAAGAAAGGCACAGTAGGAGTAAGAACCATAATAAGAAGATCCAGTAAAAAAAATTAGCAAAATATAAAATAGTTACCAGCGCATATCCTTGAGAAGAATCTCTTCGATATTATTCTCAAGCTGGTTAAGTAAGAGGGGATGCAAAGGCCTCAAAATCCAATATCAATCTGAGTAAGAAATTAACCAGTAATATACCCCCATACGGTAGGAGAAAATACACAACCTAACAGCAGCAGTGACAATGTCGCACATTTCCAGGGTCAGTTGTTTATAAACAGTTGCTACCGCGTCGTCAGCGATGCGCGCTGGCTTAACTATCACACAAACAACAAAAATTGTATCAATAAAAATAATGCATTTTCATATTGAAAGGTTGCCAAAATTCGTAGCATTAACTGCGAAAATATTCAAAATGAAAATTAAATTTTTTGTTTGAAAGTGTTTTTTTCACTTTTGACTTGTAATTTTAAAAGTGCATTTTTTAAAAGGAAAGTTGTTCAACTGTCAATATACCTTTTCACATCGATTTGTTTACTAGTAGCACTGAAGTTCCATTAGCCGTTTACTTCGCGCCAAAATGTATTGCGTTCAGCCGTTAGAAATTTTACAAAGTCTGGTTGTTGCAAAAGCCACCTCGGATATTGAGTGAGTAATTAATTTTAAAAATATCGAAAAACGCTTCTTCAACAGGTTCACAATTATTAAAAAATTACTTTTTTCTATGCTCCAGTCAATTTTCGAAACAGCCAGCACCGACATTGACATCGAGAACCTCATGTTTTGCTTCCGCCTACAGACATTTTATTTTATTCATCATTCTGCCTGGCCTCAAGAACGGATGGAGATCAGCCGGGAGTAGTGTGGATGCTTTAATATTGGATTCAACAAGCGATCGCCTTAGGTATTCTGTTCGGAAGTTTCAGAACATTAGAGCTTTCCCTGAACTCGTGCAAGAGTGAGTGAGGTTTTTTGTCTTGATTTGAGATGCTGAAAATTGATCTTGGTGTTTTTCGTTTTAGGCATGTCTTCATGGGTTTATTCGCCTGTGGTCAATTTCTGCGCTAGTAACGTCGCTGATGGATAACGGAAGTAGAACCCAACGTAGGAGACTCTTATCAACCCATACTTATGCCGTGCTGGACATCGATGGAATCAAACTTCAACTGAAGAATCCCTGGTCTCATCTTGGCTGGCGGGGCAGCTGTTCTGAGCTGAATGTGGTAAATATTTCTTGGAATCCGACCCTATTCGACTACACATACAGCATTCATCAGCTGTGGCGTTGAGCCTACGTAAGACGCTTATACACGTGCTGGCATAGAACTGACATAATAAAAATATTTTTGCATTTGTAGATTTTTATTTATCAAATAAAGAAAATACTTGTATATAATATTTATTAGAATTGAAAACTAAAAATGATTTTATAATCTTTAAAATACTTGTATTTAAATTGAAAATGATTTTTGTGTAAATCAAAACAGTACATATTATTTCAAATTTACCTTATTTTCATGTCAAAAATTTGTTTTGAATTGAAAATAATCCACTTTTAATTTCAATACGCCGTGCTTTTCATTTGACAGTAGTACAATTAATTTTAAAAGTTTTAGCTTTTAAAAGTAGTGAACGGAAAACTTTTAATTAGACAATTGGTTGACTTTCGTTTTGAAAGCTAACCGGTTTCTACCAAAAAGAACCAACGCAAACTTTTAATTTTACCAATGGTTTTTTTAATTTTATCAACGATTATTTTTTGTGTGTAGGTGCTTCGCGAAAGGTCAAAGTAAACATTGATGAGTAAGCATCCTACATAGCCGTTCCTACCGCGAGGAGCATTAATTCTTGTTAAAAAAAAACAGACACCGACTTTCCAAGAGAAAAACTATCTGTCTCGCTTTATATGTACATACTGGAGAAAAACTATTGTGTAGAGTTTAAGTAACAAATTCATGTATAAAAGGTTTCGAAGAATAAAGAATCGGGGCAGTTGTTCGGATGAGTTTATTATCCGAGGTTTGCTAGGTGCGGACGAGCACAGTTCCAACCTCAGGATAACTGATTCATCAAAGAGCTTTTTCCATACAGTAGAAATGGAATTGCACTGTCTTTCATTTTACGGAGAAAGAAAGACCACGCGAGTTGTTGCTCTACGTTGGGCGCTTCACCACGGGAGTGAAACATGGATGCGCAACGGAGTTGGGCGGTTCATAAGCACCGTTCGGCGATATTGGATGAAAATCGATTTTGAAATCGGTGTTAGGCAAAGCGCTTTTTGCAGGCAATCAGTGATAATTTTGATCACCATTCCAACAGTTGGACATTTGTGTAATTTTCAATAGTGACCTATTGCAAATTGATTAAGTGTTTTTTTTGCAGATTCGTAGAAAAATTCCGGAAATGGAGTAGTTAACCTTAAGCACCAAAAATTGAATTAACAATTCAAACGTGAAATTTACGTTGTTATACGCCAGCGAAACGTGGTGTGTATCAGCGGAGAACCCTCAAAACCTGCAGGTCTTCATCAACCGATGCCTGCGATATATAATTCATACCTGGTGGCCTCACAACTGGATCTCGAATGATGAGCTCCTTCGTTGATGTCGTCAGGAACCGATATAAACTATACCGGCAGAGGCAGACCTAGCAACAAGAAAATCAGTAGCAATCTGACTTGGGAAAACAAAAGCAAGCAGCCGTGCAGCATGATACAGAAAGAGGCGGGAGAGTTACAAACATCTATCGGAATAGAATTTTTGGATTGCTTTAGTAAAGGAAAATCTAACTTATTCAAGTTGTAATCTTTTTTTATGAGCTTCTTGTGTACTTCTTCCGCTGCAATCAATAATTGTCTACAACAAATTTTCATTCTTGTTCTAAAACTCAATTAAGTAATATAGTTTACCAATTTTCACTTAAATTCAATTTCATTAGATCACCTGGTAGGAAAACTAGTTCCTTACACATACAAGTTCACAGAGCACGTGGGTACAATTTTGTAATGAAATTAGTTTCTTTGAAAAATGCCATACTAATTCTTAAACACTAGTATAGCTGTTTTTTTTATTTATTAGAGTCACACAATGCCAAATAAACACTCTGGTGCTATTTAGCTGGGCAGATATTGAATTGTTATCGTATTAAATGGAAATGTTATCTTAAATATGATCATCAATAGCTACAAATAAGTGCTACGAATTCATCTACCTTCTGCAAAGTCAAGCCTTAGTAATTTCTTCGGTTATTGTTAAACCGATTGCCACCGGCATTGTTGTTCTGGCCGAAGCGATTTCCACCGCCAGCTCCACCCCCACCGCCACCACCACCGCCACCGCCTCCGTTGTTGAAGTTGTTATTAAACCGCTGACCTCCTTGGTTTCGCTGCTGGAACTGATTGCCGCCAAAATTACCAGTGTTTCTTCCACGCTGCTGGAAGCCGCCTCCACGGTTCTGATACCCACCGCTATTTTGCCGTGAGCTGTTGTTGTAGTCGTAGGGGATCTGATTGGCGAACGGATTCGGCAACACCGTATTTGAACTGTTTGCATTTCGTGAAATTTCACTCATCACCTGCTGTTGGTATTGATTGATACGGCTGCTAAGCTGCTCGAAGGCGCTCAAATTGCCACTATTGCCACCGCTTCCGCTACCTCCGCCACCACCGCCGCCGCCGCCACCGCCACCACCACCACGGTTCGAATTCGAGTTGGCATTTGAATTGCTGTAGTTGCTGCCCGATAAGTTTAGACTGCTGTTGCTACCGACAGACGAGTTGTAGTTGCTGCTGTTGTTGTAGCTGCTGTTATTGGACGAATTTCCACCTGAAAGTATGCGAAAAGAGTAAAGATTGATAAGTATATTTGTTATTGGATTTTAATACTGCGTCTTAACAAAAAAAATCTGTTGTTAAACCCAACCCTTCTTAAGAACTACGCACAGAAACCCCGAGGCCTACACGTTTGGTAAATAGACATTCAATTTGATCACCAATAATTTAATTATTAAACACTTGTTGTAGTCTAAGTATTTTAATTGCCATTGCAAACTAAACTGAACTGAATCAACAGAATCTAATCTGGAACTGTTCATATACCACGGGAACAGTTCAGGGAGGCTGTTGCCGAATGTCCACGGACGACAATTTTTTTTATTTGTATTGATGGATGGAATATAGACAGCCGTAATTGAATTTCTTATGTGGAAGAACTGCTTCATCGAGCCTATGGACTTTCTATGAGATAGTTTGTTTTTATGAAAACAGGGCTTCCATTTCATGTCAGAAAGCTTTTATTACCTATTTAGTTGTCTACTAATTAAGTATGTCAAACAACCTGCAATTACAAAAATTGCGCTTGTCATCCCATGATTTTGCCGAAATGACATAATCCAATTGTTGTTTTTTTTTTTCAGAAGCAGCTAATTTCGATAGAAGCATTACAATCGGCATTTAACTCGGAGAAGCCTGTAATTCAATACTAATCCGAAAAACGTTAAGCATACATTAACCTTTGTTTGCCGAAACCAAAACAGAAACGCCTTTGGGTGCTACCGAATCACCAACAACGGTCTTTGATTTTTACTCCGCTTCCCAATGTGAGTCGTTTCTCAATTCACACACAAATCTTAAATGTGATGAAATCTGAACGAAAAAAAAAACCTACAACATAAAACAAAATCTAATGAATCGGAACGCAACCGAACGATTTCAGGAGAAAAGCAAAACAGAAAGGATGAGAAGAAAAGCATATCGGAAGATGCGACCCCTCAGATAAAGGTACTTGTGAAGGCCTAATTGAACCTATCATTATCCTGCCATCAGACAGTCTCGTCTTACGTAGGATCAAAATAAATGGAATCCTCACTTTGGAGACAGCAGCAACATGCGTGCTTTCTGGCTGTGTGTTGTGTGTCCTATTGTGCGTGTGTCATAATGCTTCCTACTACATTGATGCTATATATATCTGTAGGTAGGTACGTTTTGTCATCGTTTCCTGGAGGAAAAAGGCTCCTGCTTTGCGATGCTACCGATGCTACACACATACGAGAAAGGCAGCAGAGCTCTACAAAGAATCGGTCGACTGTGGAAAGTGTGATCCTGCATTCATCTTAGACAAAGAAGCGCACGGACCGAAAAACAATCCCATTATCATTCTTTTAGGATACCCGCACTGCGAGGACTTTTTAATAATCTTAATATTTGTTTTGTTTCTTTTCCACCCATGCATGCATGTTATCTAAGGATGTGAATTGTAAGCATGTTTTTTTTGTGTGCCTGTGGGTGTTTTATTTATTTTCGAATTTGAAATGAATTGCTTACTCTTTTCGAATTTTATCGAATGTGTGTGTGGGAGGGGGAGGGGAGGGAGAATTGAATTAAGAAGGATCTTCCAAAAGACCGAAGAACCATGAGGCTCTGTAAGTGGATGTTTTACCCACCAAAACCTTCATACTCGCCTTGCCTGTGTACCCCCACCACTGACAATATGTGTGTTACTGTCCTGTTGCTGCCATTCCACGTGCCATGCACGTCTTGTACATCAACTCCGTATTGATGACCACTAACTTAAATGTTGGACAGTCGATGACCAATTGCCCCGATGTTTCCTTCACGTTACCACACTTCTTCGGGCAGAGCGGTGACCAGATATGCTTTCTGTTCACCCAATTTCTAAGTATCGACATAACACTGCGACCAGTAATTTGATCTATTGTAGTATATCCCGTGTCCTTAGTTTAGTGCATGTCGTATTACTCCATCACTATTGAGAAATGATGAAGTATTCGATTTTTTTACAGTTGTTATTCTTGCATTTATCGCAGGGATCCGACTCTAATTGAAAGGTCCCGCTATTTATACCCTTCGGAGTGTTGGAATACCTTCCAAAGGCGCGCCCCTTTGTCAGTCAAACTTGGATTCTTTGGCAACAAAATTAAGGAATGACACCGATAATGACCATGCATCAGAACCCTAGTCTTAACCACTTCAAACTATTATTATTATTATTTAGCTTTATTTAGGAGGCTTTCAGCCTTAGGCTGGTTCGCCTCCAAAACACTTCAAACTAGAGAACAACGAATAGAAGACTAGGAACCACACACAGCAAAAAAATAATTTTGATATCACATCAAAGTGGATGCACTACAATCATGTCGAAAATTTCATGTAATTTTTATGACCACATAAATAAACAAATGCAGTAAAAGCAGCGTAATGTCAGTTCATGCATTGTATTAATGATAATTTTGTCCTTTTTAGCAAGTAATATTACACCATATTTTCGACATGATTGTAGTGCATCCACTTTGACGTGATATCAAAATTATTTTTTTGCTGTGCATAGATGAAGACTAACTAACTTTTATCCTTGTTTCAAGATCATCCTCGGTGGACAAAGCCGAGTCTTGTCACTATCAACAAAGCATAAAAAGTAACAATACTGATACTGAAAAACAGTGATGCAAAATATCATGACACTCACGTGACACTCGTCTACGCATCAACCGACTATCGCTGACAGAACGTTTTGTCAAGCAGTGAGAGGTAGAGCCATGGCAAACAACAATCACCAGTAATGGTTGCTACTCACAGGCAAAACGTTACTCTCGCTGCTGATGATGTAAAGCACAATGAAAACAATGAAGACTTCTGCAGTACGATCATGTACGATATTTCCATGAATATGTATTGCGCATTGAGTCGGAGGCAAAGCGGGATCCATCGTCTTTTTGGACCTACGTGAAGAAACTTAGGCGGAATGGCGGTATACCACTCGATGTGTCCTATAAAGAAGCTCATGCTGACTCCGCGGAAGAAGCTTCTGATCTCTTCGCAAAATTATTCAAGGATGTTTTTTCAACTACCCCTCCCGCTCATTCTCCGGATGATCGTCGTGACTGAATGAGCAGCATAGCTCATTACAACTTGCATTTGCCGCAGTTGGATGTATCTGTTGAAGAGGTGATGAAAGTTCTTTCATCTGTAGATCCTTCTAAAGGCCCTGGTCCAGACTGTTTGCCGCCATCGTTCATTAAGAAATTTTCTGCATCTCTCGCTTCACCTGTGTCGATTATCTTCAATCGTTCGCTAGTTAGTGGTGTTTTCCCCACAATGTGGAAGGTTGCGTCCATCACACCTATTCACAAAGCTGGAAACATCCACAACGTTGAAAATTATCGCGGAATTTCGATTTTAAGCTGCCTCCCAAAAGCTCTGGTGAAGATCGTATATGAGGTCGTATATCAAGCGGTTAGGCTAATAATTACCGAACATCAGCACGGCTTCGTGAGGAAACGCTCTACAACAACCAACTTAATGGTGTTTGTCAACTCGCTGATCAACTCCATTGAAAAACGACGACAAGTTGATGCGATCTACGTGGACTTCAGTAAGGCGTTTGATAGGGTTCCACATGTGTTTGCAGTGGACAAAATGAGGTGTATGGGATTACCTAATTGGGCCACGAAGTGGCTACAGTCTTACTTAACTGACCGCTCAGGCTATGTGAGCATTAACGGTGTAAATTCGCCTAGTTTCGCGATACCCTCTGGTGTTCCCCAAGGTAGCCATTTGGGGCCTTTAATTTTCATCCTGTTCGTGAACGATCTGTGTAGTCGACTGTGTTCTTCGAAACTTATGTTCGCCGATGACTTAAAGATCTTTCGTACAATTAAGTCAAGACTTGACTGTTGCGCACTCCAGAAGGATATTGATTCCCTTTTGCGCTGGTGTACATTGAACGGTATGCAGGTTAATGTCACAAAATGCTGCGCAATATCTTTTAGCCGTTCACGCGAGCCCTTACGACATGACTATAGGATAGGACTCAGTAGTTTGCTCTTCGTTTCTTCAGTTAAGGATTTGGGTGTTATCATCGACTCTAAAGTCAGATTCAATGAGCACATCTCCATGATAACTGCTAAAGCATTCGCCACATTAGGTTTCTTGAAACGAAACACAAACGCATTCCAGGACATCTACGCGCTGAAATCACTATACTGTGCTCTCGTCCGCAGTCTTCTAGAGTATGCTGTTGTTGTGTGGGCACCCTTTCACGCTATTCAAGCTAACAGAATCGAAGCCATTCAGCGAAACTTCGTAAGATACGCTTTACGTGTTCTGCCCTGGAACGATTCGGTAAATTTGCCGCGTTACGAAGAACGGTGCAGGCTGATTGACCTGGATACGTTGGCATCAAGGAGGAAACTACTTCAGCGACTCTTCGTGTTTGGATTTCAACTCTCTTGTGAGCCAAATCTACATCAATGCTCCTTAAATAGTTCTACGCAGTTACACGCTTCTGTGGGGCTACAAAATGGTGAGTGACAATCTGGAAGGAGCGATATACCTAGCTCCGGTCCTCACAAGTTCCTACCTCACGCCTCCACGAGTCATATGATCACAAAAGACTGCTAGCTGAAACATGGACACAGCTGGTTGGCGTAGCCTGGGCAATGTTGTCAATCCGACAATAGCAGAGTGAGGAGGTGCGACACGAACACTGGCGCGGTAACCATAGCACGGTGATAGAGGAAATGCTTCGCCAACCCGAGCGTCTGTTCACCATGGAGGTGCGGTTCAAACAGCGTCTGACTGGCATCCAGCGGCTGAATAAGAAATGCTCTTCCCCGGAAGCTACACCTAAGATGGCAGCCCCATCACGGAGGATAGGAGACCTTAGGCCAACCACCTACTGTCTCTGAAACCTTTACAATTGTTACAGAAACCAACAGAGAAAGACATCGAACTAATATAACGGCAACGACTTTTAGCGCAAAACAACGGACACGAATTGGATCATGGAATGTATTGACGTTAGCCCAG